TGTCCTACCAATTTGGTTTGAAACTGTCTCATTGCTATTTGTTTATCAATAAAATTATGGAAAAAAAGTTACAATGAAGCAATCACAAATGCCTCATTTATGGAGGATGAAATACTCGGTGGGCAGGTGTTTAGAGGTGCATGTAAAACCACCAGGAGCTAGTTGCAAATCCATATTGGCCAAGCAAGTAAAACAAAACAAAAAACAAAAACAACCTACAGAGAACTGAACCTTCAGTCAGTAGGGAAACATGGGGCTGGTACCACAAGTCCGACAGATCCCAGCTTCTTTCCACCTACTTCATACCTCCTTAAAAGACTGAGCAGAGAGTTTCAGTTGATGCTAAAAGTACAGCATGGGCCATCACCTCTCAGTCACCAGTAGGTCTCCCACCAAAGACATTTGGTAATGCCCAGAGACATTTATTTCTCTTAATTTATGGAGTGTGTGCCTGGGGCCCTGCTACCATTGAGCAGGGGGACTGAGGAACACTATTTTATAACTCACAATGCACAGCACAACCCCCACCAGTCTAAAGAGTAGATTGTGTATTGAGAAAATCTGGCAAAGTATATGAATAAAATAGAACAGGTTTTCAAAAGATTAAAACAGTTGAGGAAAAGAAAGATAAAGATAGTAGGAAAAAAGGTTTCTCGAAGAATTAGAACTTGAAGGGACTGCTGAGGAACTCATGAGGCACTGAGCCAATCTTCTCCGAGGCAAGTCTGTCTTTATGGAGTCTCTCATTCACCTCCCGTTTAATTGAGACAGTAGCCAAACACAAGTTATAAACAAACATTCTTCATACTGATGTGCTCAGGTCTCACTTCTTACAGAGGAAATGAACCCCATATTCAATGAGCATGCAAGAAGATGGCAGCAACTACTGCTGAGGTCACGAATAAGGACTACAAATGCTCAAAGGATGAAGCACGTCCTCTCTTCATCACCTTGCTGCTGAGGATGTGGGGGCACACAGGGGACAGCAGGCAAAACTGGGAGCAGGACTGAGTAGCATGGGTCATCAGTTGTTCTCTGTAAATGTCTGGTGTCCTGCACATGACCTTCAGCACGTGCCACTGATCTCCAGTTCCTTGGCAGATCAGGCTCTTGAGGGCACTCTTAAGTGTCCAAGAAGAATGTGGCGAGATCCTACCGAGCAATTCCCTTCACCAGGAGCCTGTCTCAAACTCACTCAGACACAATCCTACTTCCATGTCTGCTTGGGTGGACATGTCTGGTGCCTAATTCACAGTGCCTTGGGGCCATCTGTTGTGCACTGGCTACTCCAGGGACAGCCAAGTGCTGGCAGCCAAACGGATGCTGAACCACAGTCTCGCTACGGATGGCTACACCTGCTAAGAAGACCGGTGACTTCACTTGGGCACACATGTGGAGGACTATAGCTGCCTTGCTTCTATCTACTAGGCTGCAAGGCAACTGCCTGACCATTGTAGCAGAGCATCTGAAGTGTCTAGAATTTCTCACCAGGACCTTGGAAGGTGTCTATCTCAAACCCTGAAGAGGACAACATAATCTACTTGGTTAACCTCCATCTAAATGCAAACTCATTGCTATCTGGCAACAGAAATACGGGGAAATGCCTATTTCGTTTTTGTAATTCCAAATCTTTTCTTTCTTTTAAAATGTACAGGAACTGTTTTATAATGAAAATATGAAATGAATGAATGAATGCAACATCCACAGGCTTGAGGTGATTCTCTGGATAGGAGCCAAAAGGTAGACCTGAGATTGAAACTCATGGTTATTTACTGCCAAGGTCTGCACTCCTCTGTGGAGGGATGAAGCCACTGGATGCCACTGGATGCCTCAGAGGGATGAAGCCATTGGATGCCTCAGGGTCTGGAAATAAACACCTCTGCAAAACTAATAAGCCTTAAGAAATCTATGCTAGAGGTTAAACAAAAAATTACTTATCTGCCATTCTACTACTGCTCAGTAATTTCTATATTTATAAAGAATAGTGAAGTTAAGTACCAAAAGGACAATTATAAAAAAGAAAAGAAACAGGCTTTAATCTCAGGGGCAAGAGAGACTCACCTGCCATTTCAGTCTCAAAGAAACCCAGGAGGGACTGCATGAAGGAGAGGATCCACCGATCCGTGATGTTGGGGCTTTCCCTGATTGTATTCTCATTGTAGAGGAATTCCACTCCCTCCTCCTATAAACAGTTAGCAAGAATTCACATGCATGGTAGGAAGTTATTATGAGAGAAACAAACATTGAAAGAAAAACAAAACACAACAAAAACAACAACAACAACAAAAACCCAAAAGCAAACCCGTACCTCTTGGGCAATTCTGATTTCTTTTTCTTTCTTTCTTTTTTATTTTTTTGCAGTACTAGGGATTGAACTCAGGACCTTGCACTTGTCAGGCAAGCGCCCATTCTATTGAGCTATCTCCCTGGCCCTGCAATTCTAATTTCTGATAAGCACTAATCTGGAACACTAAGTCTTCAAGTAATTATGTCTTATGAACAGAATGAAGAAAATTTAGGATAAAACTATTTCTTTGCACTAAAGAATCATTATGAATTGGGAGATACAAAAATATCTGTTAAACCTAGGAAGGAAATAAACCATCAGGTATGAATGATCATAGCACTACATGCTTAAGACTTTTTTCCTAGAAAAACCTTCCTGTTTTTAGCTTTGCAAAAACCATCCTTTATTCTAAAAGTCCATATCAGCAGTCCCTGCTCTGCAAACCCAACTCACTGAAGCACCATGAATCTGGTGGATCAGTGGTGATGCGAGCCCTCCTCTGGAGTTAAGCACCTGATGGTCACAGATCTGCCCTTGCCATGTACAGACAGCCTCTTGCTGGGGCAGGTGTGAGCTGAATCTCACACAAGCAGAGTTTTGCATTGTGTACCTGTTTAAGGACTGTTGTCCCTACTTGGCACAGAGCCAGGTGTGGAGACATGGCAGAATTAGAGAGGGGAATGCTGGGAAACTGCATGCCTTTCTCAGTTCCAATGGAAAAGTATGAGCTGGGAGCTCAAGGTAAATACAATGTGTCTTCACTAACAGAATGTCCTGAGCCACATCTAGAGGCAGCAGAACTTGAGTGATCTACCTGTTAGCACTCTAGCCAGCTTCCAGGTCCAATCAAGGAAGAAAAGAGTCACACATTCATGTAATAGCGTCAACTAGCATTTCTATCTCACAGGTACTGGAGATAACAGGAAGAGTCTTGTGGTTCTCATCGCAAACTGGGTGCATGCACAGAAACGTGCTAGAAGTGAAGGGCCTAAAGGTGGTCAGGTCGGGGGCAGGAAAGTGGCCCTGGACAAAGAACTGTCAGGACGGGCCTCCTGAGTAGACGGAATCGCTCTGGAGGGCATGCGCACAGAGAACAACTGATGTTTTTTTTATCCTGACCACCTTCCATCCGCTGTCATTCTGAGGTTCAACCCACTAGCATTCCCTAACCTGTCTCTCAAGTGGCCAGTCACACCCTCACTCTGCCCTTCACCAGGGACTCATTCCATAGTCTTCCCATGAGGGGAAGGGTGTCTCAGCCAATACGGTATCCCTGGCATCGAGAACTGGCTAAAGAAATAACTACAGCACAGAACTCTTCTTCCACAATCAAGGTCTGTGTCCCATATAGAACTTGGACACCTGCCACACCTGCATCTAGCCTCCGCACAGCCCGGGCTGCTCCCACATCAAGAGAGCAGAAAAAAATGACCCTGAGATCCCACACCAAACTCCACCTCTTAGCATGCACGTAGCCTCAGTGGGCTGTACCTTACCTTCTCGAGTCTTAGGATGTTCTGTGTGAAGAACCGGTATGCATTGTACCATGGAAGCAACACATCCTTAAGGACATCCCGCACACCCTCCTCCTTAAAGCGGAGGTTTTCTGCTCTTACCACAGGAGAATTGATCAGATATAACCTGGGAGAGAAAATACACTCAGCAAAGTTATGTAGATAGTAAATCAAATATTCCTACTTGACATTTCGAGAGAGAGCAAGACTAAAATCCACACTGTTCTACAAAAGGGGATAAGATTAATACTTGCTGAATGGTCAATTTCAAACTCATGAAGCTCTTACTTTGTGTATGAGCTCCAGCAAACATCAAGGGGTATACCATGTAACCCAAAACCAAAACATGGCACTGCATTAAGAATAAGAAAAAGGTTGGCCTGATCCTCAGCAAGCACCCCTTCTCTCCTGTGGACACTGCCCACCCCTACCCCGTGTGCCCACAGATATCCGTGAACAGCTTCCACAGACTGCAGATTCCCACACCTGGGTGGCAAAGACCAAGAGTGCTTGCTGCTCCACATCCTACCAGATGGCCTTACCATACAGAACGTTCCGGCCTCAAAGGCTGACAGCAGCAGGAATGAGTCTGACAGATAACAGAGTCCAGAAACACAACCTTAAAGTGCCCCCCGAGTCACACAGTACCACAAAAAGGTAGATGGTCATGAGTCTTATCAATGGAATACTGTGACATCTTTAGGTCCCTTTCAACATGAGAAGTGACTGCATAATTATGACTATTTCAAATACCAGCTCAAACTTCTGTGACACTTTCTCAACACTTCAGGATTAAACTCCAATTTGTTCTTGCACACCAATTGCTCACGTGGTTCCATAAGTGCAAAATAAAATAGCATAGAATTTTAATGCTACCAAAACAAGGAATTCAGAAGAAAAGCAAGGCAGGGGGCAACCTGCAACTACACTGGGGAGGCCTTATATGGTTCATGACATCCAAAACAGGTGTCCTCTTTGTCAAAAAGACCTGGCATTAATTTTTTATGGTACCGGGGATTGAACTCAGGACCTTGTGCTTGCCAGGCAAGCACTTATTCTACTGAGCCATCTCCCCAGCCCAAGACCTGGAATGTAAAAACAGCTTTACTCACAGGTACTAAGTCCCTATGATGCACATGAATACTATGTATACCTAAAATGTACCAATATGGGGGCTGGTGAGATGGCTCAGTCGTCTAAAGCACCTACTTAGAACAAACTTAGCAAAGCACAGGGACCGCAGTTCAATCCCTCAGCACCACATGCCAGCCAGCCCTGCCCCCTGGTGGGCTGAGCTGCCCCCCCCACATAAATAAATAAAATAAAATAAAATAAATAAAAAAGTACCAATATGAATAAAGCAAAATGTACTAATAAACTTAATAAAAAACAACTTTACTATTTAGAAAACTATTAAGGGAGTTTAAAATCAAATACATCAGTAGAACTTTTCATGCAACAAAGACCCATATTTAAAAGCATAAAAACCAAATCTAAGAATTGTGACTAGTAGGGTGGGAGATGCTTATAAAAAATAACAAAAAGAAAAAGAAACCAAACAACAACAACAACAAAAAAGACAAACTACTACTACTATACCTGAGGGCATCAGCACCATACTTTTGGATGACTGAGACTGGATCTGGATAATTCTTTTTTCGTTTGCTCATTTTTTGGCCATCACTTGTAAAATAAAAGGTAGATGTCAAATAAATAAATAAATACCACTGTTGATCCTTATATGGATATAAATTCACAAATAAAAATATGTTTAGTACAAATAGAAGCAGTAATTATATAACATTAAGGTTGTTTTGTTGATACTTCTGAACTTTTCTTTTTTTGTGGTGTTGAAGACCAAATTCAGGGTTTTGGGTGTGCCAGGTAAACACTATACTCGAGAGCTACATCCCTGGCCTCAAAAAATCTTTTTGAGTACTATGATAAATCCATGAAAATATTTAGAAACCTATCCCAGAGAAATGAAAGCTTATAGCCACCTATATAACTGTATATGAGAGTTTGTAGCATTTTTATTCATAAGCAAGCGCCAAATACTCAAATCAACTAGGACGGCCTTTAAGAGGTGGGAGCAGGGGAAGATGAGAGAGGCGCTGGGTTTCACTCATGGGTCAGTAAAACTCAAACAGGTGGAAAGCCAAACTATGGCATTTCCTTATTGTGAAACACTACTAAGTATTGAAAAAGAACACACAACTTCAAACTTCCAAATTATGCTGACTAAAAAGCCAATCCTCTGATATTAGATGTTGATTCTATTTACATAAAATTCTTGAGGGGCTGGGGAGATGGCTCAGTGGAATAAGCGCTTCCCTGGCAAGCGCAAGGGCCTGAGTTCAATCCCCAGTTCCACCAAAAAAAAAAAAAAAAAAAAAAAAATTCTTGAGATAATGAAGTTACAGACATTGAGAGCAGATTAGTGGTTGTTGGGGATTGAGAATAAAGGTGGAAGGATGGGAAGGGATGTAGTTATCAAGAACATCAGAGAGAGCCGAGTGTGGTGGCACAGGCCTGTAATTCCAGAACTTGGGAGGCTGAAGCAAGAGGATGCTGTGAGTTCAAGTGCAGCCTGGGCTACACACTGAGTTTAAGGTCAGCCTGAATTATAAAGACCATGTCTCAGAAAAGAACAATAAGAAAAGCACTCTCAAATTTATGACTATGTTGCTTTATGACCTTCAACAAGTTTCTTTAATTTTCTTATACTGTGAAATTCCCCATTATCAAAATCACATAATCAGAGCCCCATTTCAAACAGTTCCGAGGACACCTCTTTGTGCCCAACAGGGCCTGGGGTACACCCACACTGATCGTGGGTATGGTCCTTCCTCATACAGTGTGTAAGGCAGGGATTTAGCTGCCTGTATAGGGGAATCACTGTTTTGGTTTTTTGTGGAGCTGGGGATTGAACTCAGGCCCTTGCGCCAAGAGCTATTTCAATTGAGCTATCTTCTCAGCACCTCCCTCCTTTTTAAAAAAATTTTAGTACAGGATCTACAGGGTCTCACCACGTACATCCGACTCAGTGATTTTCCTGTTTTCAGCCTACCAAGCACCGGGATTACAGGCATGCGCCACCACACCCAGTCTCAAGAAATGTCTCAGCATGCCCCAGGGGCGGGACCAGCACGGCACGCCCGGGACTGAACCTTGGCTGCCACGCTCTGCCTGCCATGGCAGGTGCTTTAGTCGACTGAGCTATCTGGCCAGCCCTTTTGGGGAACCACTTTTTTTTTTTTTGGAACCATGTTTTTTAAGTTTTCTTTTTATTCTTATGATGAGAGATCATGGAAACAATGAAAAGCAACAGTTCCCATTAATACTAAGACACAACAAGTACTCATTGGGAGGCAGAATCCCTGGCCTGCTGTGGTTCTCATTAGCACTGCGCCTGGCCTTACTGACCTCCAGAACCCAGAGCTTCCTTTCCTCACGTGTTAAGATCGTAAGAGCTGGCCTGTTGGTGCATCCCTATAACCCCCTCACACTGACAGGTGGAGAAGGGAGAAGGCGGCACAGGTAACTTAAGTGACTTAACAAGATTCTGTCTCCAAACAGAAAACCAAGAAAGAGCTGGGAATGTAATCCAGTGTGAAAATCTTGGATTCACTCCTCAGTACCACACACAAACACACAAGATGACCAACCCACCTCACCCCCCCCATTTCAGGACTGCAGTACAGATTAAGAAAGACCTGTAAGCAGAAGTAGTTCTCATAATACCAACTTATTCATTACTAGTGATACTAACAAAACAATCAAGAGTGCACCCCTTGTTTCTCCTCTGTGAGCCCTGGCTCAATGTACTCTTCCTCCTTAGGAAAGCACAAAGTGAAAGGTGGGAGAGGACCACAGGTCAGCAGTATCAATGAATGGGAAGAATAGCAGGAAATCTGATAGCAGAGGGGCGAGAAAGGTACTACAGCTGGCACTCCATGTTCCTAAAACCCTATATTCAGAGAGAAAATACAGCAAGGCCCAACCAAAACATGCTGCTTTGTAAGCCAGAGTTCGTGGGGGTGGGAACAAAGGGCACAGGCACTGGAACTAGTTACTTGGGAGGAGAGCACCTGCCTCGCCAGGATGAGTCCATTCACAATCACGTTCTTAAAAGGCGGTTGTCCAAAGAGAGCTGTGGCCAGGACCAGCAGGGTGTAAAACCTGAAAACATAACACTTCAGTGAAAACAGAAAAGGAATCGCACACAGGAAAAATATGTTTACTCACTTGTCTGAATTTTTTTTTTTCTTTTTTTTTTTTTAGACAGGGTCTCACTATGCAGTTTAGGCTGGCCTCAAGCTCACAATTCTTCTGCCTCAGCCTCCCAAGTACTAGGATTACAGGCATGCATCAGCATGCCCAGCTTGGACTGAATTTCCATTTTCAATACATTCTGTTTTTTAATAATCACATAAAGCTATGGTTCTTAGTTTTGATTACATATCCGAATCACGTGGAGAAAGTTGAACACTCGTAACAAAAGGAAAATGTAGACATTGATAACATCGAAAATGCCTTCATGGGCCAGCAAGATAGCTCAGCAGAATAAGCGCCTGCTTTGGTTAGCGCAGGGATCAGGGTTCCATGCCCAGTCCCATGTGCCGTGCTAGCCCTGCCCCTGGGGCGCGTTGAGTTGGCAACTGAGTCCAGGTATGGTGGCACATGCCTGAAATCCCAGCGCTGGGGAGACTGGAAATAGGAGGATCACTACAAGTCTGAGCTGCATAGTGAGACCCTGTATCAAACACATAAGTGGAAAAAAAGAGAACATGTTTCTGGTTCTGACACCATACATCTTTTAAAAAAAATTTTTTTTTCCATAATTTTATTGAGAAACAAATAGCAATGAGACAGTTTCAAACCAAATTGGTAGGACAGTTTCAATAATTAACACACTGCATACATCCTTCCTAGTGGTTAATTGCTGTACAAGATGCGGACATGATATCCTATTTACAAACACCATTAGAACAAATCCCTCTATTCATTAAGCGAATGTAACTATATATCTATCCTAACCACTTTGAATACACAGATACAAAATGGACGTTCATCTGTATCCCCTTTTTTGTTTAGTTCTGTTATTTGAATATTATAGGTATGTAAACTCAGCAAAGTATTCTAAAAGAGTCCAGTAGTCCATAATAGTATTGGGTCTTCTGCTTGACTGGCAATGTCAGAAATTGTTGACCTGAGTCCTCTATAGCTCAACGTAACACTGTGGCTTTACTTCTTCTACTTCGTTTTTATACTTTTCTGCTGGATGGTTAACATACATCTTATTTATGTGTAGCTACTGAACTTTTTCCTCAACAGAACTCTCACATCCCTTTACTGTCCAGGGGTAACACTCATGTGCCACTTTGACTTGCTCCTGTGATGAGGTGATAGTCTCATGACACTGACCTACCCTACTGTATCATGCATAATGCCCTCTTACCACCCTGATTTGAGCCCGAATTCTAGGAACATCAAAGAATACGAACTGATGAGCCCAGATGCCAATGGAGTACAAACTCCTGTCTGCAAATAGCCTTTTAGTTCTAAAGAAGGGCAGGAAGGATTCCTGGTCCTCAAGAGGCAGCCCAGGTTTGAAAAAAGGGAAAGTGGGCAGCAGGGACTCACACAAGGACTTTGACAATGACTAACAAAAACTAAAAAGACAGAAAATGACATCAAAAGTCCCCTGTGCATGCTCTTACTGAAACTTTATCACACAGTAAAGAAAGCCCACCCATAAAAAGGTACCTCCCCCTTTTCCATTATAAAGCTGTGGGCACTGCTAAGTCAGGCACCAGATAAAATCACTGCCAAAACTTCCCACATATTTGTATATCTGGATGTTGCAGAATGCTCACTTTTATTTTATTTGTTTATTTTGGTACTAGGAATTGAACTCAGAATCTTGTATTTGTCAGGTAGGTACTGTGCCACTGAGCTACATCCCCAGCCCTAGAATGCTCATTTTTAGGGCTAGAATGAATACCTAAGCACATTTCTAACTACTTCCCAAATTCTTAGCATTCAACCTATTTATAGTTTTGTTGTAAATATTCATTAAGTATTTGAGTAAATAATTTGAACACATTAAGTATTTTGTATTACTTCAATTTTCAACTTATATATATTACAAAATGTTAGTGAAATAATTTAAATATTAACACTATGAACCTACTACAGTGAGAAATCCTGCACAAAACAAAGGTAGGTTATAGTGTGCATGCTGAGGGGATTAGGGCAGAAACAGCGCTTGTAGTGTGTGGTATAACCACAGCACCCAGCAGATACATGGCAGGCACTCAGCCAAATAGTTGTTTAATATAAAAGTGAACCCAGCATTTAAAGAACAAAGGGACATACCATCCTCTGGTTTGGTCAATGCCTTCACCAATGAAGTCTGCAGGAAACGCATCCTCAAACTCCCTCTTGTTTTCAAATGGATAGTGAACCTGGGCGTAGGGCATGCTACCACTTTCAAACCAGCAATCAAACACCTCAGAGATGCGTCGCAATGGACTCTTCCCACGGCGTGATGGAATGGTCAGGTGGTCAATGCTACCAAACAAGAGTTGCCACTTCTATTAATTGTAAGTATAACAGAACTTCTAGTTTAACTGCCAACAGGAAATGAAAGGCCCTCTTAAGATATCACAGTCATGTGTCATACAACTGCATATACAATGGTGGCCATAACATTGGAATAGAGCTAAAAACTTTCTATCATGCAGAAATAGTCATACCTATTCCAGCAGGTTATAAGGTAGCACAATGCATCACTCATACTTGTGGTAATGGTGGTGTAAGCAAACTTAAGCTATAAATTGTGCAAAAGTGTAGCACACACAATTACATACAGTGCATAATACTTGATAACTGATGTGTAACTAGTTTATTATAATTTCTGTTTTAGAATGTACTCCTACTTACAAAAAAGGTTTGTTGTATACCATTGTGTGATGTTTTGCTACCAGGATCCACCTACTGCTTGTGCTTCCACCTCTGACTATATCAGGAGCACACCCTGAGTGACAGCAGAGACCAGCTAGGTGTGGGGGAGAACACTAGATTTTTGCAAAATGACAAGATCACCTGATGATGCATTTCCAGGACATATTCCATGGCTTAAGGATGCAAGACTAAATGTACATGTGCAAATAGGAGTACTTGCAGTTCTCAAATGCTTTCCAAGAGCAAGAGGAGTCCCCAGTTTGAAGGGTCATACACCAAACTTACCTGCTGTTTCACTGAAGGGAGGATACTCTCATCCTACCATGAATCAATAAAGTAATTCACTGCTTAGCAAAGGAAATCATCAACAGAGTGAAGAGAAAGAACAGGGAAAAATTTTTGCCAGCTACTTCTCACACAAAGAACTAATAGCTAGAATATATGAAATTTTTAAAAAAATGTATTTAGTACAGGATCTACAGGATCTCACTACACAGATGGGGCTCATAGTGATCCTCTTGTTTGCAGCCTCCCAAGCACTGGGATTACAGGTGTGTAACAACATGCCCAGTCTCAATGCTGTCTCAGCATGCGCTTGGAGCAGGACTGGCACCAAGGCACATGGGGACTGAACCCCAGTCCCTGCACCTGCCTATGCAGCCTCTTTAGAAGGATTTTTTTTTTGGCTGGCTCAGGCTGCCTTAAGGGTGGGTCTCGTGCGGCATGTGGTGCTGGGGATTGAACTACAGTCCCTTGTCCCTGACTGATTTTGCTCAAGAAGGCACTTTACACAACTAAAGAAATATAAATGAACTGAAGAAATATAAATGGACAATAAATACATGAATATATTTAACATTGCTGACCATTTAAAGAAAGCAAATTAAAGGAAAACTGAGATTCAACCTCACTCCGTTAAGAGTAGCTACCATCACAAAATCAAGGCTGAATTTGGTGGTCCATCCCTGTAATCACAGTACGTGGGAGGCTGAGGCATAAAGATGGCTGTGAGTTCAAGGCCAGCCCCAAGTAACCAAGAGCAAATGCTGATGGGTCTGTAGGGAAAAAGGAACTCTTCTCTACTGCTGGTGGGCTAGTAAGCTGATATGATCACTTTGGGAATCAATAAAGCAGTTCCTCAAAAAACTTAAAAACATAAACTCCATTTGAACCAGATACCTTTCTAGGTAGCTTCCCTAAAGGGTTAAAGACACCACACTGCAGTGATGTACATATGCCCATGTTTACAGCAGCACAATTCATAATAGCTAAATCTTGGAAGCAGCCTACATGTCCATGAACAGATGAATGGATAAAGAAAACGTATTCATATACCCTGTCAAAAAGAAGGATAAAGTCATTTGTAGGAAAATAGATTCACCTTGAAATTATGTTAAGTAACTCAGACACACAAGCTTAAATATTGCATGGTTTCTCTTATATAAAAAGTTATACATATTTCTTACATAAAAAAGCTATACATACATACATAGATATATATGTAAAATATACATATACACATATATATGTATATACATATCACATACAACTATATTTATGTATATGAATTAAAAGACAGGTTAACAGGTAAAAGGAGAGGGGAAAAAAGCTAATGTACCAGATAATGTATCTAAAAATGTACCTTGACTTAGTACAATTTTCTTACATGTTTTATCTGTTCTTCGGCCTATTAGTCTGGTTTTCAATCCGTATATGTGATGACTAACTTTTTAAGGTCTTATAAAATAAATGAACAGATGCTGGAAAAATAAAGGGAGTGGTAGGAGGGTGCGAGGAAGAACTGAAATGTGTCATGTACATGTACCAATCCCCTATAGTGAATGCAGTCATTATGTATTGGAAATACATGCTAATAAAAATTTTTTTAAAAGTATGTAAAAGAAAAAAAAAAACAAAGTCATTCACAAACCAGTGCTTTCTACATGCAGCTCTGTAATTTGCCAGAGATGATCTCGTAACAGAAGGATTTTATGACTCAAGTGAATCAAACACTCAGAAACTGACCTCTCTCTGTGGAGATCTGAGATCTTTGCTCCTGACAGTTCTTCAAGTTCTGCCACAGAGCCAACGCAAACTATCTGTCAAAAACAAAAGATAAAAGCAGGAGAACTTATAGCCAAAGAAGTCACACTGAGTTAACTTATATAGCATTCATGTTTAGCTTGAAAAACTGTTGGTTGTATATTTGTATACCTTTATTAATATGTGCTTACAGTATATAATTACAAGGAGTTGGTACACATACATAGCACATCTTCATTCTTTTAACTTTTCTGCCCTTCCCCCTTAATACTCTTTTTTTGGTGATTTGAGTCAGGGTCTCCATAATTCAGATTGGCCTTGAACTACATAGCTGAAGCTGGCCTTAAACTCATGGCAATCCTCCTGCTCCAGTTTACCGAGTACAGGGATAATACAGATGCCACAGGCCTGGCTTAATATTCTTTTTAAAGCTCATTAGTACACCATTCTAGGCTAACAGGTAGTTACCACTGTGGCTTATATCTCTCTTGAAAAGCCACATTCTGGTCTCAGAGGTAAGAAGGGGGAGAACCATCTTGCAGTAGCCACCCCAGCAAAGAAAGGCTGGTGTGGCTCTGTTACCCAGAGTATGCTTGGCCTCTCTCTTTCCTTGCCCTTGCCATGCAGTCCTAGAACATCTTCTGATTTAGCTATTTCACTAATGCCTCAGGTTGTACAGGAAGTTTATCCAACCCTGGAGCACTCCTGCTGATCACTGATCTCATGCCCTCTGCACTGGAGGGAGGGTTCTGCCATGGAAATCTGTGTCTTTGCTTCCTCCACGCCATCCACTTGCCTACAAGGTTAGTTCTGGAAGTTAAAGGGCTGAAATACAATGGTACATTTGTTTCTCATTTTTTCTTTTCATTATCTGTATGATCAACTGAATCTTAAAACTTTTTACTGCTATAACTTAGATTCTTACTTCATACCATAATTCTAGGAAGAAATGAAGAAAACACTGAATAGGTAAAGAAAAAAATTGAGAAAATTCTTTTCCATCGTACTCCCAAGGCAAGAACTACTTCAGCAAAAGTTCATCCCAAAAGCGAAGGACCTACACCATGCCTCACCTCCTCAAAGTCGTCACTGACCCACAGTGGGATCGGCGTGCCCCAGTATCTGTTTCTGGAGATGGCCCAGTCACGTGCATCTCTCAGCCAGTTTCCAAACCGCTTTTCTCGCACAAACTCTGGCACCCTGATAGAAATGATTACAGGGCTGATGACATCAGAACACTCGTAAGTCAGCACTGTCATTACATCTGCAGAAGTGTTCATGTAATGTTTTGTTGCCCACATGCTTCAGAAATGTATTTGCTGCTAAGAGCACATCTTCTTGGAGAAGGGAATAATTTAGGCTTAGTTGGGTCTTCACGGGAAATAAGTAAAATCTGAACTCTTAGCGAAAGACATTCTGAAATGTTGAAGTCTGTGCTTTGAAGCCACAGGTAGAAATGATACTGCTGGATCGTACAGGTGCTGTATCACCTGTGAGTCAGGTATCAGCTACAGAAGGCAGAGGCTTGTGCCTGGGACTTATTCCTAAAGCCAAGGACAGGTCCTTCATCTACTTTAGGTACTCAGCAAGCATGCAAAGTACATGAAGTACCTACGGTTCTTGAGGATATAGCCTTAAGTGTTTTTCCTGAAAAAGTGTTATGAAGGTTAACAGAGTCTGGAGCAGTTATACAATCAGATATGTTCTGAAGTCACTCCATCTGCAGTCATGTAATGGTAGGTGCTCATTTTCGCTGGTTGTTTAAAAAGAAAAATGCTCCCTTGTAAGCTTTATCCTAAAGACATTACTTCTATTATTTAATATTACTGTTAGCATATGAAACTGACAACTATTAAAATAAAATTTGCTACTATAATTATAATTTGGAAACATAAATAATTTGGGGAAGTGCAGGCCATATTACTTACCTACAAAGGACAGTATGCAGAAAGATCTCCCCACTCACCAGTAGCACAGGTCGTTGTTCCTGAGTAAACGGTCCACCATGTGCTCCACCCGAACAAACCAGCTGGGCACTGCTTTGTAAATGAGGGGCGTGTCCGACCTGGGGAGGGAGAATCACACGCGCAGAGGGTCAGACACTCCTAGGCCCAGGGCCAGACAGTTACTTGGCCTTCTGCTAATACTTATTTTTTATCATAGCTACAAATGTCTAAATCTCCATGATTGGTCCTCTCCCTCAAGAGAGCGTGAAAGCCAAAAGCCAATGGAAAAAAAAGGACTAGGAAGAAAAATGTAGTTCTGATGACAGCTGCCTAAGATACGATACTGCGAAGTCCACATCATGGGTACTGTACATCTTTGGGAAGCTGCTCTCTTATTTCATTTTTAGGAATTTTATCAATGCATAAAGTTGTCTGTTTCCTCAGGTTTGTATGAGAAAAACAGACATTGGTGGATGAAATGTAATGTTCGGGGACTCAATTTCTGTCCTTGTGCGCAGTTTCCAAATGCTGCTGCAGTTTAGATCAAGAATGTGTCCCCAAAACTTCATGTGCTCACAGGCAGGGATTTGGGATGGTGATGGGACCATGAGTGTGCTGCATTCATCGGTGGCTTAGTCCTCAGTGATGGGCTCATAACTGACTTGCTGTTCAGTGATGAGCCCTGACAAGAGGAGGGGAGTCAATGGGGAAGACACAAGGACAGAGAGATCTCTTTGCTCAGCTCTTCCCTTTACTGTTTCCTGGCCACTATGCCTTCCTCTGCCTGCCCCTTCCAGAAAGCTATTTCTGCCTTGGAGGTAGCCAACCATGGACTGTTATCTGTGAGCCAAAATAAACCTCTTTCCTTAAGCTATGGGTATCAGATTTAGTGTCTCAGCTGCGGATATACTAAGATGCTAACTCTTCAGGCTACCCATGGGATGGAACCACAAAATACAAAGGCACAGGCACACACAAATCCGAAGTTGCAGCTACAACAGAGGCTTCATTTCCTCTCACCTCCAGCAGAAAGGATAGCTGTGAGTGAAGGTGCTGGTGGCAACAAGTCGGCCCTGTTCCTTCAAGGTCCTGATGATATGTTTGTCAGCATCCTGTTAAAAAGTAAGTATTTGGAGTGGGGGTGAAAAAAAGAAAAAATATTTAGCCATTAACACATCCTAGCTGGGTGTAGTAGTCTACACCTTTAATCCTAGCACTGAGATTAGAGCAATACAAGTTCGGGTCTCACCATGGCAAGCTGTCTCAAAAACAAAAAGGGCTGGGGATACGTCTCATTGCAGTAATCCTGGGTTCAATTCCCAGTACCATAGGTAAATTCTATTCTGCTCAGTAACAATATATTACTAAAATCTGACATGTTATTATGAATAAAAGGCACACATACCATGTCATCAAAAATTTTCCAGCTATGGATAGAGTTCAGTGGAACAAATTACTGCCTGGCAAGCACAATGTCCTGAGTTTGACTCCCAATACCAACACCCCCCAAACCTGTCCATTTTTAGCTATTAACTCCCAGTACCAACCCCCCAAAAAAACCTGTCCACTTGACACATATTTCAGTTCTAAACTTTTATAGGTATACTGTATAAGAGTCACTTTACTCGCTTACAAATGAATCTGACTTATGAACAATTTTCCTAGAATGGATCTTGTTCTGAGGTCAGGGACTTGATGTACTTAAGCACTTTCAGGACTTAAAATTTATTATGTTCCTCAGGCTGATCTCAACACCCTCCCTAGTAGCTGGATACAGGATGATACTTTTTAAGCATATCACATAACATTTAAAGTAGTGAAATTTTGAAATGATTACAAAGATGCTTCATAAGGTACAAATCACAGCTCAATTTTCCTAATTCCTATCCCTGAATTTAAAGTATGCTTCCTCTAGATCAGTGATGGAAAGTAAGCCTTTTAGAGACAAATGCCCAAATAGCAACCCCAAATCCACTTATTCTTCACAAAGTGCCAACACTATAATTAAAATGGGAAACTGAGGTTTTATTTTTAATTTTAATTTTTTTTTTTTTTTTTGCGGAACCTAGGATTGAACTCAGACCCTTGCACTTGCCAGGGAAGTGCTTATTCTATTGTGCCATCTCCCTGGCCCAAAAGAAGCTTTTTTTTTTCAGAACCAGGGATTGAACTCAGGTCCTTGTGCTTGCCAGGCAAGCACTTATTCTACTGAGCTATTTCCCCAGCGCTTTTAATTTTTTTAAATGTATTTAGTAAAGGGTCTACAGGGTTTCACTATACAGATCAGACTCATGGTGATTCTCCTGTTTTCAGCTGTCCAAGGGCTGGGATTACAGAAGTGTGCCACCATGCCCAATCTCAATCGCAGTCTCAGCATGCTCCGGGGGAAAGGCTGGCACAGCACAGCGGGGATTGAACCACTGTCCCTGTGTCTGTCTGCCTAAGCAGGCACTTTAATCCTCTGAGCTATCTGGCCGGCCCTTGAGGTTTTAGTTTAGAAAAAACATCTCACATGTTAGTATCATTTGTCTCAAAAGAAAAATAATCTGTGAGCCCTAGGTTTGCTGCCACTAAGATAGAGATACCAAGTCCTCCGAGTCACTGAGATAGATACTAAGTCCTCTGAATGTAGCTGACAGGATGAGCCTTGCTTTGATTTTTCTAAGCATGATGAGACTAACACCCTTCTAAGTCACAAATACTACAGACCTTCACATACTGTCCTGTAAAATGTGTCACTTCTGCCGTGAAACAGCCTGAAGCATCTACAGGGCAAATAGGGGGTGAGTCTTTCTGAATAATGTTGAAGTCCATACAGACGCGGAAGTCATCCTGGGAAAAGACAAAGGAAAAGAGAGAGACAGAAGAAAATATTCTACGTGTGGGTGTGTGAAAGGGGGAAAGCACAAATAACAGATTTACAAGACAAGGTTTCAATATTCATCCCTTCTTCCCTTTCTCTTTCTTCAGCGTAACTGGTGATTCAACCACCATTTTAGTTAAGAGTCTTACATACCTAGGCTAGGGATTATACTGTCTAGCTTGGGCTTCCCAACCATTATTTCACAGACCCTCCTCTCCATGTGAGAAGACAGATGAAACAAATGAATGCTTAATCAACAAAAAGCTGAAATGAAATCAAATTTGATTTATCACAGCAGCATTCACGCACACCTGCAAACCAGGAGTCCACCCAGGCATCAGGCACAACCTGTTTAGTACCACAATATGTTTAATGTACGCACAGGTTGGTGTCCTATAAAAGCACAGCCCGCAGGATGACCACAGTGATCTGACTTCAAGGCATTCAACTTATCAAAAAAAACCCAAAAACCCCAGGTCTCCAATGGCATAGCTTCCCTGGGTTACAACACGGTGTTTCAAGAACAGATGGGGAAAGGGTCTGAAGCTAGATCTCTGTGTCTGCTAGTGTTCTGGGCTCTTCAGCACACTCGCCTTCTTCACCGTCTCAGTGCTGCTGCATGGGAGGTAGAGGCATGGTCCTCAGTCTCACCGGGCACTCCCCTTGTGCAAACCAGCACCGATTTCCATTTCACACGTGACAGAGCTAAGACACAAAGAACTTGGCTGGGAAGCTGCAGGGGTTTCAGAATCTGTGGTCCTTGACAGTTGCTCTGCTGTCTAAATCTGAATTAAAGAGTCAGGCTGGAAAGCTGGCAAGCTTCTTCCTGTAGTTGTAATCACCTGTGGCTGCGCTGACCTGCCTGGAGGCATGGGGGATGGAATTCATGGACAAACAGGAAAACACCCAGCTAAGTAGCGGTATTGAGAATGAAGCAGACACTTTCACAGTGAGGAGGCAGCAGCAGTCCCCAAATGTAGGTACAACAGGTGATGCTCAACAAAATGACACATATTCTGGGAAGGGACCATATCCTGTGCCGCCTGATAAGGAAAGAGCACTGGAAGGAAGGTGTCTCAGAAATGTTTACGCATGGTGTTAAAGGCTTCAGAGAACTACCTCAGTGTGCAGCATTTAGGTCAGCTATATATATTTATAGTTACTGAGAACTATGGTCATCTAAAAAGGAAAATCTACAAACCAAGATGTTTTCTTTTATTATTACAGCAAAACTTTTGAATTTGAAGTACCTTCTAGAAGTGCAGTTGGATTACCTCTATATAAAGATTTACTGTACTATTTCCTCCTGTTAATGTTTAAAGAATTCCATAATAAAAGCCTCTGCACAGATTAGGCATGAAAGCAAAAAGATTAATGAAGATAGCTAGTTTCCTGCCCACAGAACAAGGTCACATGCCCAAGTCCTTTCACTGGCAAGACGATGAGCCCCAGGGGTCTGTAGGTGATCCCTGCATCCCAGCTGCAATGCCTATGCGGAACTCTCACTCCTAAGAGTGTGAAGCACTGTACATCCAGGTACACTGTTCAATTAAATTCTCACAGCTACAGATTTAAGGTGGGGACTGGTTTACTGGAAAGCATGCATATCTATATCTATATCTGTATCTCTATATCTATATAGATCTATCTATCTATCTATCTATCTATCTATCCATCCATATCAATCACTAAAAGAGATACTCCATCATAAAAACTATTCTTGGACAATGGTAAACTGCATGCTCCAAAGAGAGAAATTTACCACATATAAATCACACATGGATGAATGAAGACAGAATAGGTCTTGGCCTTTTAAAATTTACTAGATACCTAGCAATAGACCATAATTTGACACACTGTTTCCAGATCAACTCAGGGTGAATTGGATCAACATACTTAAATATTATATGCCAGTAAGCCAGAAAAGGGTCTGAGTCTATGGTCCAAATGAGACCAAGAAGCTTGATCAGGCCCATGACTCAGCAGTCCAGGAAAAGTGGCCACTGACATTTACTTCTCATAAACAGGTTTGCAAGATTATTACTCACAGCTCCGAAGTAAGGAGCCTGGTGCACGATCCCTGTGCCTTCTTCCTCCTTCACATAGTTGTCGACGAGCACACTGAAAGCGCCATTCTCTTTATACTGTAAAATTAAGGCAGGTGGGCATCAAAGATAAAGCACTACTGAATCAAAGATAGCCTGAAAAAACTTTATCACGTAAAATTATTTTTAGAAATAGAAAAATGGAAAGAAATTGAGTGAATACAACATTTTCTTGCATAATGGGTCACCATGTATAAATGACATAATTACTAAGACATGCACATGAAAATTTCAAACTTCTTTTGGCAGCCTAACTGGGCTTTCTCACTAGCTATTCCAAGTCTACTCTTACTCTAGTATGAAGTAATGATATAATGGGAAAAAAATGTGGCTCATAAATCATTCACTTCCTGGTTTATTTTCCTCTGCTGCATGTACTTTTCTTTCCACCTAGCTGAAGCTGTTTAGTCATAAAAGGTAAACCTCCTAGGAACCAATAGAGAAACCAGAGTTGCAAGTTCTACAAGTATCTACCCATAGTAAGAATTAAAGGAAAAAGTACTTAATTTGATTTTCTTTGCAGCAGGATACCATCAGGCTAATACACAGAATGCAAGAACACCCACCTTCACCTCTTCATAGTTCTTTCACACATCCTTTGTTTCAGACAAACTGGCCCTGAGCTGTCCTACCTCTCTGCATTGATATAAAGTATTTTCATGAATGACCTTCATACTTAACTCCTATAGTTCCATGAAAAATGTTATTTTTCATATACTTTACAAATATTCTCACAATTTTAAAAATATCTTAAATGAGCAAATTCAGGATACAGATGAATGACTTTTCGAAATCATGCCACTACAGCAATGAAGGCTGGATCTGAGGCAAGGTCATCTGGTTCCAAGTAACACAATGCTGTTTCCATCACAGCACCCTGCTTAAGCATGTACAATAAAACTTGAGGAATAACTGAATTTTCAACAACCATAATCCAAATCACCTTCAAGCATTTTGGAAGGTTCCATGTGATAGTTTAAACTTGGGGCAGGAACACCTCTTCATAGTTCTTTCACACAGGGTTCCCACTGTCTGATGCATACACAGAGAGCCCTGCGGGGTTCTAGGTAGACTAAGAAAGCCATCACTGTGTCCCAGGATCTATCACAACAGGCCCACCCTCTCTGCCACTGAGAGACACAGTGCCGCCCCTCGAGCAACATGTATACCACAGCTTCACTTAGCATCTCAGAGTTTGTGTATTTGTTAAACCTTAGGTGATTCTGTCCCCAGGGAAGCAATTGGTAGTATCAGCCTAATTTTTCCCTGAAAGCCTAAGACATTTCAGAAATTTATTTAATAAGCAGATATTGTGCAATCTAATTCAATAGGTTTGGAGCACACATTACAGACAGGCCTCTGACTTAAGCTGAAGTTCCTTTCTAGTAGGTCTGTGTGTTCTTTTCTGAGGGTCAAGCTTTCCTCAGTTCTTAACAGTGACTTGGGTAAATAGCCACTAACTAGGGAAAGAGGTTTTAAATAAGAAATGTTAGGATATACAAAAAAATACAGGACAAGAAGAAGCAAGGAGGCTTGTTTCAGATGGCAACTACATTCAGACTCAAAAGACGGTTTGTGCCCAGTAGAGACAAGAGGTGGTTTATTTGTTTGGTATCAGGATTCAAACTCAAGACCATGCGCTTGCCAAGCAGGTGCTTATGCTGCTGAGCTATATCTCCAGACCATTAAGAATATTCAAAAATGGAAGAAAACATAAAAATCTAGGAAGGCAGGAAAAGAAAGGGCCAGTTTGGAGAAGTGGTTAGGCATCAGGTGTGCTGGCAAGAAAGATAAAGACTCCTCATAAATGCTGGCAGAAGAGACAGAACCAAGATAGAGCACACAGAAATGTTAGGCAGCAAAAAAGAAAGAAGCCAAAAGCCATTAAGTAGGAGACAGAAACTGTGGGAAAACAGTGAGAAAAGTGAATAGAGATGACAGACACACTGGATAGGGCCCAAATAACAGGTCACTGGCATCAACCAACTTCAGCCCACACTCAACAGGAACAACTGGGGTCAGCACATAGTCTGCCCTAGGCTGTGACCAAAAAATAAAAAAAATAAAAAAAACTGGGGGTACAGGGACTTGAGCTCATGACCTTGAGCCTGCCAGGCAGGTGCTGTGCCACTGAACTATATCCCCAACCTGACATAAATGATAAATGTCTACCTCATTAACATTTCTAAATGGCCTAGAAAGCCAGGCCTGAGAATGTTACTCATTACCTTATTCTAAGAGTTTTAATTAAGAACCGATCCCCCAAAAAAGAGAACTGACCGAGGTGGTGGTGGTATTTGTGGGGTTATGCAACTACAGTTGGGTATTCTCCAGTGCCAGAAAATGAAAATCATGTAAAACAGCTCTGTGATTCTCAACACAATTTAACTTTGCTAATATTAATGCAGACTTGGATTCAGGCTGCTCATATGAATGACATAATAAGACAATGTGAATTCAACTTAGAACTTTTCTCCAGGTATCAGAAAAATGCATGTGGATGCATTGAGCCCCTGCACCTGGGCTTACCTTCAGAAAATAGTCGAACAAGGGCTTGTATTTCTTGCCTTTGAGATAGACACCAGGAAATCTGGAATAAAGATAATGGAAAACCAACAAGTAAGCTAAAAAAAAAATAAAATAAATTTCAGAGAAATGAAGCTATAACAACAAATCACCATGTCCTTGGTTTATTGCTCTGTCATGAATGTAGGAACATGTGATCTGACCATACTCAGTACTAAAAACTCAACTTGAATAATATAGTGCTAAGATAACGAACCTTGATTCTTTTTAAAACTAAAGACATACAGACACACACACACACACACACACATATTAACTATTTGAATAATCACCTTTCAAGGATCTCATAGTCACTCTCCAACTTATAGAGGGCTGATAACCTGGCTTCCATTAAAATGAACAATTTTCCTCTGGCAAAATCTATGAGAACAAGGAAAAAAGTGGATCTCAGTGATATTCAGAATGGCTGAACTAGATATGCAGGAGGCAGGCACACTTGCTGTGAGGAGATCTTGTATCACTTGCATGTAGTGTGCCCAGGCCTCACAAAGGAGCAAAGACATAGGCATCTAAAGCAGTTATGCAGCCGAGTCATATCCACTGCATGCTTATCTGGGCAATTCTGTCAATGTCTAAAAACTGTAACAGTGGGGCTGGAAGTACAGCCTGCTTGTAGGGTATGGTACATCATGCATGATATCTTGGATCTGATCCTAGCACCACAAAACCAACAACAAATGCCACAATTTTTTTTATAAGTTATTTTATTTCATTTTAAAAAATGTTTCTTTTATTATTTTTTTTCTTTTTTGTGGTCAGCTCAGCCCACCCTGGGGGTGGGGCTGGCATGGCATGTTGTGCTGGGGGTCGAACCAAGGTCCCTTCATGCTTGCCTAAGCAGGCGCTTTAGACCACTTGGCTATCTCACCAGCCCCAAATGCCACAATATTAATAAACCAAGTAGCTGACAAAGTAAAAATCCCTTGTGACCTCAGCCTTTCTAATATAGTCTCAATTGGGTGTGTTTCAGATAATTTTCTTTACATACATAACAAATTAACATGAGTATATGTGATTTCCTTTTATTTTAAAAACAATTTTAAAGTAATATTCCATAGTTTTATATCTTACATTCACAAAATATACTGTAAACATCTTTCCATATACATACAGATCATTATTTTTTTACATAGTCCTACTGGACTCCATTTAATGGAGATATGAATTGTTTCTAACAAACTAATATGTATTTAAATTGTTTAACAATTCTATTATTATACAATTGAGACAATATATGAATCTGTATTCCTATATTAGCTTAGGAATACCAGAGCTAGAGGAAACGGATAAACATTTAAAATTTGACACTTAAAAATTTCCCTACAAAGGGCGGGGGAGATGGCTCAGTGGAATAAGCACTTCCTTGGCAAGCACAAGGGCCTGAGTTCAATCCCCGGTTCTGCCAAAAAAAAAAAATTTCCCTACAAAAATCTAGCCCAATGTAAAGTTGGAACACACTAGAATTTACCACAGTCTATCTCCTATATTCAGTTCACAGTAAAAAAAAAAAAAATGGGTCCAGGGTAGAATGCATGCTTATCCTTTTCTGAGGCCCTGGGTTTGATTCGCAGCACCATAAAAAAATACAGAAAGGAAAAGCAGCCAAGGGAAATGGAATCTATGGATCATTACAAAGACTTTTGCAATTCACTGAAAAACTGTTATAAATAATGCCACTTCCCACCCTTGACCTCAAGAGTGCTATGGAGCAGTGGGATAATGTATTTGAAATCACGGTCCCTCAACCTGCCAGGTCACATGAATGTCTAGTGGCCCATAACTCAGGAAAACTACACAGATGGGATCACATGTGGCCCAGAGAAGCAGTCACAGACACCTAGTTCTTCATCCACTAGGAGAATCAAATAATGAAATCTTCCTTCTGACCTCCTCTGCTCTCCAATTTACTTCTCAAACTTCTTCCTTGTCAGCATGAGTTAGTGAGTCCAGTTAACTATCGTTTATTTTATAAAAGCTAATTTCAACCATTTTTAAGTGGCATTAACAATGTTGTAACATAGTCATCAGAAAGTGCAACACTGTGTCAATGAAACAGTATCTCTCCCCTCCCAGTCAACCAACATTGTACTTTTTTTCTCTCTGATTTGACAGGTCTGGATATTTCAGATCAGCAGAATCCTATAGATCAGTCCTTGCTAACTGGCTTATTTGCATACTGGTTCAAGAAGTTGTAGCGTGAATCATAATTTCCTTTAAAAAAATTTTGGCCTAATTTTTATTATATGTTTGCAGTACGTGATGATTAAATTCCCTGTAGGGAGTTGGTACATGTCCATGATTCCATGTTCAACTTTCTGATGAAATGCCCAAACCGTTCTCCACAGCAGCTATACCACAGCAGTTTTCTCTGGCAATGGGTTTTTCTCGTTTTTATTTTCTTTTCCCTTCCCATTAACAATACAGACCCATAGCTATCTTTGTTCACAAAATACCAACCTTCTTTTTTTATATATAAATCTCTATGGAAGGACCTGGTCAAGACAATGATAACTCTACCAGGACATATCTGAGAGGCTCAAAGTCCTCAGGTCCTGGCATCAATGCCAACAACGACATAATGGCCTATCTCTGAATCCTGGATTCATCTGTAACAAGGGAATGAAGTGTTACCCTACAAACTGGAAGTTATAATGAAATTGTACTTTAAAAAAAAAAAAAATCTCAGTACTATTTTGTTTATTATTTTAAAATCAGAAATAAAAGGTCTTATTTTTCAGATTGAGTAATATTCTTGTGGAAGACTTTAAAAACAATATGTAAGTTTTCACAATTTACCCCAAATAAAATTATCTTACCCATTCTGAGGACATGTAATCAGCCTCAAACTTACCTTTAATCTTTACATATTGCATATCTGGATTAACGCAGACAGCAAGATTACTAGGTAGAGTCCAGGGAGTGGTTGTCCAAGCAACCAAAGATATATTTTCATCTTCTTCCAAAGGGAAAGCTACAAATACTGAAGGATCCTGAACATCCTGAAATGAAAAGAGGCACTGTTTTACATATCCGTAATACACATGAAATTAAAAAATTGATTTAATGAGTACTACAATGCATATTTTAAGATGAAATGAGCTCTTATAAATCATTTATATTTTGCCACATTTATTAAAAAATATAAAGCAAGAAATTCCACATCAAAAATTTTCAGTACTTAAATAAATGACTCAGAAGTCAGAAATAGCTGAGCTTGGTGGTACATGTTTATATTCCTGGCAGTGGGGTGGGGGACTCAGGAAGAAGATCACAAGTTTGAGGAAAGTCTGGGCAACTCAGTAAGCTTAGCATGAATGTTCAATCCTAAGTACTACATTCACACAAGCACACATACAGAATCCAGAAAATATAAAAATGTTTTAACATATTGGAGGACTTTGTAAAGTAATATATCAAGAGGAATTAGTAATGTTGATAATTGTTTTGGAAAAGTTACATTTTCCCATATAATATTACAAATAATTATACTGAAACATTATGTCTTGAAGTGGTAGTAAGCCAATCATTATTTTAGCTCACTAAATAGAAGACTGGCTCTAAGTCTAAATCTTAACATGAAAGGTCAAAAATTTAAAAGTAGATAGCTCCAAGCTAACAAGATCATTTTCTAACACAAATTAACCAAAAACAGTTACATAAACTTCAATTTAGTGAGATCTTGTCTCAAAATAAAAGAGCCAGGGATGTGGCTCAGCACGTGATAGATGCCCCCAGGTTGACAATCCACATGGAACTATAGCACCGTGATCACAACAATTCATCCTCCAGGCATATAACTCAGTGCTGTGGGGTATGATTCAGCATTTCACATACCTTATAATTCTGGTGTGCCTCAAAGTTGGAAAGTGGAGTGTTACAAGCGGTGGAGTAGGGCATGACTTTCACACCTCGATAAACAAGGCCTTTATCATATAGTTGTTTGAACACCCACCTGCCAAGTTAACAGATGGGAGTTTTAATTATGTAACAACAAAATTCTATTTCACACCATGCAAACATTTATATCATTTTCTATTCAGAATTTCTGTGTGCCTGAGAAGTGAAAAAAGATTTATTTGGAGACTTGCTAGTAAATTCCAACAGATCAGTATGATGAGTCATTATAGAAACACTGAAAAAATGCTATCATCTCTTCACATGGCAAGATGTTCCTAATATAATATAAAGAAAAGCATCCAACAGAATGTATTATAGAATAAGGAACCAATGATAGAAATCTGTGCTGGTCAGTATACACACTTAACATATTTCCAAAGATGTTAAAAAATATACTTTCACCAACATGTTAAGGATGCACAGTTTTCCTTTAAATAGCTTTCTAGGGCCAGGGAGATAGCTCAGTAGAATAACCGCTTGCCTGAGAAGAGCAAGGGCCTGAGTTCAATCCCCAGTTCTGCAAAAAAAAAAAAAAAAAGCTTTCTGGTGTACTGTTCAAATTCATCATAATTGGCAGTTTAAGAACAGAAATTTAAAACTATACACGATTGGGGTTAGGATCAGATACCTCTCTCGTAGTTAATCAAAAACTTTCTGATCATTTAAGCTTTTTATCCAGGGAATTCTAAGGAGTTTACTGGACATACGGGGAGGGTCGGGGGAGGATATTTCACCCAGAAGAAGGTACTGGGTCTCTTGGGGGTGAAGCCTGTCCTGTGCTGGCGACACAGCACAAGGTCAGCTCTTCAGGAGCTACTTTGGAGAACATGTGAGCAGCCTCTTAGCTCTTCTAGCTTTCCTGTCCACTGGTGTGTCAGTTTGTTTGACTACTATGGTTTCCCTTGGATGCACATGTAGCTAAGCGTTCCCAGACCCCAGCACATCAATAGTAAGAGTCACCCCAAACTGATCACTTGTTTCCTTTCCCTGTTTTGGCAACACAGAAACTAAGAAAATGTGTTTCTTCACAGTACCCTTGAGCCTTCAGAGAAAGCTAAAAGATGACTGTTTCAAAATGAATTTCCAAAGTTGAAGTAAAATTTTAAAAATAGCTTTTGATAAAAGACATTCACAACAGAGAAAGAATATCAGAACTGATATACTAAGATTCAGTTTTAAACCGAAAAGCCATTCAACTGGCTGTGCAGTCTCAAGACAAATCCCAACCACTTCCTTTGACCTCACATAGAATACTAACCCAATGGGCAGGACTCTGGGAAAACTTCTGTGCAGTTACTTTACACAATTCCAGGTATATTCCAAAGTATCAACTCAATCTAACATCACCACCAATAATATTATCATTCTTAAGAATATCACCAGGGCCTGCCCCTTAGCTCAGTTCTTTAAGTGGCTGCTTCAACAAAGCAATCAGGGGGCTGGTGAGATGGCTCAGTGGTCTAAAGCACCTACTTAGAACAAGCTTAGCAAAGCCCAGGGACCACGGTTCAATCCCCCAGCACCAC